CAGTCGCTGCATGTCATGCGTGACATGGTCGGCCAAGGGCCGAGGCATCGAGTGCGAGACCCCGGTATGCACATGAAGTGGCACAAAAACCACTAAGCACTGCTCTCGTTGAGTTGCAGTCGCTGCATGCCATTGATGGCGTGGTCGGACAGAGTCCGAAGCATCTTGGGCGCGGCTCTTCAGATGCACGTGAAGTGGCACGTTATCGATGACTGCGGGGTTGGCAGCTCTTCGTCGAATGTTATAGATCACATCGGAGCTCCAAAGGAGCGGAAAGTGAGGGTGACACCGGACGACGATGAGGTCATACCTTGCATCCAAGTCTAAACCTAGACAGCGTTCCACGCTCTCAATATCAAGGAACTTGACTCCGAGGTCCACAGGGACCTTCGTGACCGTGACACGTGTCTTCGTTGCTAGGCGAACAGTGACTATGTCACCCAACCGCGCTTTCAGCGCCTCAGCATACAGCTGTCTTCCTTCCATCGTGGAACGTCGAGCATAATTGCCCGGCGCCCGGAAATCGATCTTCCATGGCTTCTCGAAGCCCATTACGGTCGCCTCCACGACCAGCAAGCCCGGCTTGCATACACGTTCCGGGATCAAGAGTTCGAGGCTTTTCGGGGCTGGGCCCTGTTGACCTCTACCTCTTTGAGGCTCAACAAAACTCATTTCGTCCCCAGTAGGTCGCCCCGCGCCTACTGGGTGGTGTCGTTTCCCCGCAACAAACCAAACTGGTAGGAATCAGGGCGATGGTTCGAAGAACCTTGACGCGCCTAGCGCAGGGGGCAACCGTTCCGAAGGTGACGGATGTCTCCACAGGCAAGAAACCGTCGTATATTTTTTTGTGCTGCTCGGCAGCTCAAAGCTCTGCTCCCTCGTCCTCAGCATAGCTGAGATCCATGGGCACAGACCCGCTCGACAAGCTGTTGGAGTGCGCATTCCAACCTTGTCGTGCCGATTTGAGTTTGACGTCGGCATTCAATGCCACATTCACCGCTTCTCCAAATGAAGACGGATGCGCACGGAAGACTTCCATTCTGGCCAAGCCAGTGCGAAGGTCTTCCATAAAGACGGTCAATGTGACCGCCTCCGGAAGGGGATCTGCTGCCATTCCGGCAAGAGAGTGCGCATCTCTTGGACAAAGTCCACCAGCTCCTTGTTACCCTGTCGGGCGGCAACGAAACGCGATCGCACGCGATATGCTTAATTAGGCGGCGAGGACACTGATGAGAGCTGCTCCGCCCTGGAGGGAAACGCAGCTTCGACCGAGGTTGGTGCGTCAGTGCCCATTCTCGCGCTCGACCACTTAGCTTTGAGATGGTTAGAGCCACGCACTGTTGCTCTGTCTGGAGCATGGCGGATGCGATGGTCATCTCGACCTCTCTCATCCAGAGTTGGAGACCCTCCATCCTTCCCCTCAAAGGCCTTGACGCTCACCATGAGCGGCTTAGGTAGGAGGAAGTCATCCGTCACCGACGGTGGCGTCATAGACGCAAATGATGCCGACATCTTCTGCTGCAGGTGCTCTAGCAGCGTTTTAGTAACTCGAAAGCGCCTCTAGACGCGCACCGATTGCCTCGGGGCCTTGCGCAGCAAGGTGTTGCAAGCCCTCAGGGCCCAGCAAGGACACCAGCTTGTTAAGCCCGTCCTGCATGCCCTGGGGCAAAGAGAAAAATTGTTCCATTCTCACAGAGGATCAGTTTTAACGACTCAGATGTAGATTGACTACAAGTGCTACACTGCCGTAGCTTTGCGCTTAGAGGAAACGTAAGTTAGGTCACCGACCCTTCGTTCTATACTTAGAACAAGTACGAGTTTAGCGGATCGCAATCCGCTAACTCCAAGAGTAATTATTGCCTTAACCCAAGGCTAAACAACGCTTCCGTATAGATCCAAAACTGACTTTATTTTTTTCTGCGGCAAAGCCGCCTAATTTTAAATGATAGATTTCCTCAATATGGATAGTAAAATCTTAATACATGTATAACTATTGGCTATCCAGCCCCGTACCATATTATTATTTGGGTGTGGTCACACCATGACCATCTGGTGTGACATACACCTTTGGTACCACTGTATGTGTAACCCTGTCACACTTTAAGCCCCGGTAGATGTTATTAAGAGTCGGACAACAAGCAAAATCGGATGAGAAACTTCTAACAGGATCAGGATGAGTGCCAGCTGGTGCGACAATCCAGTTCTATTGTAATTTTTGAAGGTCGAGATTAATATAACCCACTCTTAAAGGGAGCGACTCTTAGAATCTGGGGAGCGCAGCCCAGGGTTTTGATGACTAACATTTACAGTGCTTCTTTTGGATGGTGCATAAATATCTGACAGATTCAGGAACACAGGGCAATTATATACGACGCGCGTCGGTCTGAAATGGTTGACAGTAAATATAGGCATTGAAATGTTAGTTACAAATACATCGTACATCTTACGACGGGACACTGGTAAAAGTACTAGAGGTTTTATCACACGATGGTCAATGTATCGCTTTACCTTGATTCGAGATATGTTCTCATTCCTTGTGTGACATAGCTGTAGCGCCATGAGCCATGGATCGCCTAGAATTTGATAACCTTATGTACCACTCGCTTCTTTAGTAGTTAAAATTGCGCTGATAGAGTAACGCGGTTGCTGCTCAAGAATTAATCTTTAAACAGTCTCCAAAGCAGTCCATGCACTGATAGGCGGCTGTGGGTCGCAAGTGGTAGAGCGTTGGGCAGATGTTTCGGATGCTACCAATGGGTCACTATGTGGTTGTATAACAGATTCAGTAACACCGAGTGGCGTGCTTACTATAAGAAACATTGAAGCTCCATAATTTTGTGGCAAGCACTTGTATATATTAGTACGTAGGCTGACTTACTTGAGTTGTTTTTGGGTAAATCAGTCTTCTACGTCTACATATTGCGCCCGTACCAAAAAAGGTGCGAATATCATCGATCGAAATGGATGTGCTCATCAATGATAGCAGGAGAGATGATTACAAAAGTGCTTTTTCAATCCTCAAGCTAAATACAGAATTATTATAGTTTTGATGTATAATACCAAGACGTAGTGAAAAGAGACCTGCCATAAGTGTGGTCTAAGATTGAGAAAATGTCACGCGATTTATCAGGATCCAGATGCTGTAAAAAAATGGCTTTTACTCAAAAATTATGCGACGTCATATACAAATTCTTCTATGCAACAAGCAACTAGATTGCAGATGCGCAATAGACATGCGTATAAAGCTACTGAAATTTCAGCAAAGGAAAATGAAAGCGAAATAATCTTGTTGAATGTTTCGAGCCAAAAGACGCGACATTGAGCCGCGTTCTTTTTAAATAACGAGAAGTAGCGATCATGTATCGCAGCCATCACATTGTATATCTGCTAAACAGCACACTGCTCATCTTGCGGTATCCAAAATGTATCGCTATCGAGTAAAGCTAAATGTCGGGGTTTCAGAAAATGGTTCTAGCGGTGTCGTAAACTAAACGTCGGAGTTTCAGGAAATGGTTCTAGCGGGGTCGCGGTTTACGGAATTAGCTGTGTGGAGACCAGTTAATTCGGCTTAATATTGTAATCAACTGAGCAGTAGTAATAGAAGATGGGCGACTGTAAGTTGCAGAAGAAGAATTCAGCCCTAGCGTTACCTAACATTTTCTATCCTTGTCACGATAAATCGGTAAGAATAGATTAGCTCCCCTGTTGATTTTCCAGAATTTAATTTAATTTTAGCATAAGTTTAACTATGTATACATGGTTTCGAGACATTTTTCTGAATATTATCATTATCTTCAAATATTATATATATATATTATGGATGGCGACGTCAATGCGCCAAGTAGTGAGGATCCAAGGATTTGTAGATAAATTTATGATCATTCGGTTATCGACAGGGCAGAATTGGAGAATGTATGTTTTTTCTCATTACACCAGGTAGAAACTCTTACTGGACATAAATTTACGAAGGGATGACTACACAGAGTAGCAAGACGGTGAAGTTAGCATCGCGTAGGAAGAGATGCCGAGTTTTTATTCGTCCTGAGTAAGTACATCATTCAAGACACTCGCGCAACAGTAAGTGTGACAAACAGGTTTGATAAGCTCAAGAATCATATCGTCTGGTTGATGAAAAACTAACTACATCGTTGGAACAAGACTTTCGCGGTGTGAGTTGTTCTTCGATCGAGAAGTGGGTAAGAAAAATTGATTCGTGGAAACGGAATTGCATCCTACATCAAAGTTTCTTGCCAAGAAAAAAGTTGATACCATCGTCTTCATTTTAGTGTAAAGTACGAAGCGTGAATTCGGGACACAGACAGTAAGCTTTGCTACTCGGAGACGACTTTTTTTGCAATAACAACAACAATATAGTGGAAAGTATCTCGACGTGGCACGTTCAAATACACATATCAGTAAAGACAACAATGTCAAAGGATGCGAAATGATTGGAAGCTGCGGAGGAAGGGGCTGACTTCGCAAATGTAAACAAATGTCTTTTGGGATCATTAGTTCCTGTCCCATCCATGTCCAAATGAGTTATTCCATATCATAGTGAAGAATCGACTTTTTCGTTGGCTGTGCTGGACTCCGACAATTACCATTGTGCCTGAACGCGTCATTGCATCTGGGTTCTTACCAGATTGAAACGACAGCGGTGAGGTATTTAGTTTAGGACAAAGGCCACTTGCAATGAAACATGTTTCTGCCAGCCTTACGATACATCTGCTTGACTATGAGCTATTTTTGAGTTATGGTGTAGCGGGGCTTTGCTTAGAGATAGCAAAGCTAAGGACACCGACCTTACGTTCTTTTAGTAAGTTTGGTGTAGCGGATCGTAATCCGCTACTTTTAAGTGCAAACCTTAACCAAAGCAAACAAACGCTTCTGTTGAATACGAAAGTGTATTCTATTGTTTTAGTTGCGACAGAGCCACCAATATCTAAGTCCCTAGGTTTTCCTAATCAATATAGTAATACCTAGTTAATATATCAAAACCTAATTGAAGTAGTAATATGCATTACTACTGGCAATCTCCCAAAAGTCCTTAGGAATAATGGCGAGATTGAGGCTCACAATTGTCAATAGAAGTCGGTTGGGTGATACTTGGAAAAAGTGCTTCACGGCGCTCACACTAAGATTTGTCGCAGACCAAGATCATGTCGTCGCACATAGATGTGAAGATACATACCGTGTACAAGTAAGGCGCATCTTGTGATGGATTTCTGAACCCTTGAAAAGCAAGATAGGTTTTGAATTTGGATATCGCTTATAAGAACATTTGGCTGCATATTTGCGCCGCAAGCCCAGGCTGTATTCCGACACTGACTCACTTGACAATCAACGTGTTGTGGCACATAATAAAACTTTCAAGTACAAAATGCTTAACAATGAGCTCGATTTGGGCATCTCAGCTGAGAAAAAATATATATTCTCAGAAAAAGTTATGTTTTGGTGGTCCAACATGTATAAGAAGGTAAGCTAGTATGGAGTAATGTGCGCAATTTGTCAGTGGGTCATTTGTCGTACTACTTTAGCTCGGAAATTTGCAGTCTTATTGCCTTGGAGCCTATGATCAGGAACGCACTTTGCTTCATTATCCTTGGGATAAGAGACAAATCGCCTAGCTAAAAGACTTGCAGTCGGTGTCCGACTATTTCCAAGTTTATAACCTGACCCGAAGCCGTACCTAAAGACGTATAGAGATAAGAAGGGCTGTATGTAGTAGAAACTCAAAGCATCGACCTTGAGCCATGCATTACTTTGCACATTGCCAAAGCTGTATCCGACCAAAATTTCAGCGTTATCTCTGCCTCATTTGAAATGGTTTCAGTATACTGCATATGAAACAACATGTTTTCTTCGCACAGTAGAAAGTTGAGTACGATTTTCTCGACGTTTTGCCAGCGCTCAGTATTGTAAGTAGGAAGGTCGGCCATACTTTTGAGTGATGAAGGTACTGCGGAGGTGAAGCGATCTGTGCGGTCAGAGAGCGCTCGCAATGCGACGTTTAAGCGCTCATTGCTTTGCTCTCTTTTTGTGCGATAGGCTCGAACACATCGGGCATTAAAGGGTTTTGCAACGATCGGCGGGCAAATCGTAACAGAATAGATCCACAGTCAGGACATATTGACTATACAAAGTTGTGGCAACTCTTCAATTTAGAGGTGGACACGTGTGACTCACAGAATCACGGTCAGCTCAATGGAAACGAGCTAGAAGCCGTTTTGCGTTGCGCAATAAGATGTCCCAAATCTCTCATTTGAAAAAGTGTGCAATTTCACGTAGGAGAGTCGTAACGAAGAGAGCCCTTCATTCTCAGTGTGCGGCTGTGTTGCATGTCTCTCAGTGGGGGTAAAGGAACCAGGTCGGAAACCAAGGAATTTCTAAGATCGCCATCATGTAGGAATAAATCGCTGGCCCACCGAGAATGACTCGGTTGATGTTGGTTGGACCTTTCGAAACGACTCGGAGGACCATGTGGGATGAAAGTGATTTACCATAAGCATTACTTTTGTAAAAGCACTCCTAGTTGCAATGGTGAGAAAAGATCCCCGGTACATTGGTACTCGTGGAGTGTTCACTGCTGCTCGATGTCTTGATATACAAAATGAGTGTGAGTCCAGTATGGTGTCTGAGGATGTAATTTGAAGACATACCAAAATTTTGTGTACGCTACTTCACATTATTGTCCACAAGACTCAACCTAAGTTTAAAAATATCTAACTATGCAGTTATGATAAAGTATCAATACAAAACAAATGTAAGGAATGAGAGGGCTCTTTTGTACAATTGGGACGTTGCTTTACGCCGAGCAGCACCATGGATTTTAGTATTGAAATAGTCGGCAGATGTATTAAGTTATGGTGTGACAATTTAAATATCGACTAACAGTTACTCTATGAATCCAGTATAAGCAAGCGACTTCATAGGTTTTTTAGAAGCTATCCCCATTACTTCAAGTTAATGAGCACCCATCCATTTAACAATTGCTAACGCAGTTTTGTGGAGTCAAAAGCCGACCCTGTGCAAGATGCACAGCAGCCCCAGTGCAAGTTTTTTTTAATTTTGTCAGTAAACAATATTGACTAATAGACTGTGCTTGGCAAGGAATGCACTTGGGATCACAGAATTATACAGAAATTATCTACTGTTCTGTCCATAATTTTACAGCAGACAAAACGTCAGTGCATTTCGGTACCGATTTACGTAACTGCAGTAGCCTAGTTCAAGGTATTTCGTCACCTTGCTTTCAAAGCTCCACCTATTTACATGCGCCATCATGCGCTACTCGCGCGAATTTTTTTCTGGCAACATACAACATGCCATAAGTATTTTTTACAGTAATCCAGAAAAAGTCATGATGCTGATACTGATATGACAAATGACTTTAAAATTTTCGAATTGTAAGTGGATACGCTGACCTAAACTAGCATTATGCTGTGGTCGTATGGCGTTAAAGTTTAGACAAAAGCGCACATAAAACTCAATGACAAACACCTATTATGTGAATATTTAAGTTAACAAATTGTTTCTCTGCTTGGCTTGCGCCTTCAAGTATTTTGTAACAATTTTGTACGAATGAAGTTTCCTCTTTGATGTGTTGCTTAGCAAATAAAAAATTGTTTGGTCGACCAAATGTGCTGCAGATCACTTTAAGATGTAATACACACGAAGGGAGCCTCTTTTGGCACGCGTTAGTCGTGCTGGGCGCCTCATTTCGCATGTGGTTAATGTTTGTATTTGCCTTAATCCTGTAGCCCAAAACCCACGTGGACTTGCTTCCATTGTAACCTTTAAGCTGAAAAACGACTTACTTGCGCTGCATCCAGAGTGTTGTTATGCCTATACTGCATAGTATCCTTCACATTTCTATGCCGCTCGTACTAATCTACATAGTCTGGGCGGTCGGTGAGTAATTATGCTGTGATCGCTTCGAACAGCTCTGCACGTCTCGAAATACGCAATTCTTTTGAAACCTGTCCTAGGTTCTAAGCTCCTATCAAATTCTCGCTCCAAGCCTGGTCACATGCTCTGTCCCAAATATTGTTCTTCATAGCTGCTGGCAGTTGACTCGGCGCGCCGAATGATGCAGAATTGAGCGTCTGAGCGCTCCTCCATAGCAGACACAGACTTGACTCTGATGATTCGTTATAACGAGTCCATAGACTCCGGGGATCTTGACCTAAGGCTGCCGATTACCAGGACTTCTTTTTTGCCAAATCTTGTAGCTAGGCCAGAAAAATTTGCCTTCGCCTCTGCTCTTCCAAAAAAAGGTTTTAGATAGCCTTCAGAGCATCTTTTGTTAGCAATTGACCGCGGGATTGTTCGCGAAATGCAATATGCATTGAGTGAAACAATACGGACTATAGCAAGCTCCAATCGAGCTGACTAAAAGACTAAAAATGATTTAATTGGCAGTTTTACGACTCGACGGTGCACAATTCGATATTGCAAACGATATGAAGACTTCACAAAAGCGAGGTCGAGAAAGAAGCATCTTATTTACAGAACGATATTGACCTGAAATCCTTCACGTCATCTAAAACTCCTTCTGTTCTTAAACGGTGTAATCAAAGCCTAAAGGACAGAGGGAGGCGGATGGCTGCTTTGGATCAATTCGTTTTTACTGACCGCTTTTATTTTTGGCGCTGAAAGTGCTTCAGTGTCCCTGATAGAGTTGCATTTTAGGCTGACTAGTCCAACTGATCTGTGACGATGTTGCTGTACTCTTTATTTCTTTTTTAAGGAGTATTATAAATTCGTTGTTGTCTTGACTCAAAAAGCCCTTATTCTTTAGACAATATACATCCTTGTGATTTTGTGGTTCCTCTCACTCTACGGTACTAAACAATTCACGTTTCCCAAAGTCTGGAGCTGGTCTGTGGATATACCGAATGTTTGCTATGGTTTGACCATGATTCCATTTTCTATCTCGTTTGACTACCTTTCACACCCGTTTTGTCTCTTGTTCTAGTTTTTCTTTTGCGTGGACAAGATGCTTTGAACGTTTTGTTCGGCTGACACTGCCATGGTTTCATTCCTTGTAATAATGTGGGCTCGGCTCAAACATTGCTGGGATGCTTAAACCTAAGTCTTTTCTTCTGGGTGATAGCAAAAATGCACAGTTGAACTTGTTTATGAAATCATCTTGAGCTACTTGTTGTTCCACTAATAAACTGTGTAGACTTTGAAGCAATCTATAGACTTGAACCAAATTAAATGCGTGCTGTTAGCCTCAAAGGAACTTTCATTGATCCATCAATTTGTGTGTCTCAACGTCTGATGCATTTCTTAAAAAGTCACACTTAAGGTCGATAAGTCCACACTTTTTCCGTCATCCGTTCAATCAACGCTTTCTGTCTCCTGCAACACCTCCTCTCACACACTTTGTCTCTATACGTTGACTCCGCTCGCCTTGTGTTCTTCATTCTTGTGTGTCGACCTTCTTGCAAATTATTCTGAAGTCCGCAAAATCTCCTGTAGCTCCATTCTTTACTTGTCTCGGAATTACGATAGGTTGCTCACTGCAATCTATGATCATAACATTTTCACCCTTCCTGCCACCATTGCGACACAGCATAGTCCGCCTCGTAGGTCTCAAATGTTTTGGATGCTTTGAACGACCCAAAATGACTTGTTTAACGCGGGGTTGCTCTATGGACATTATCGTCGATCATAAAGTACGCCGTCGATATAGGCACGAGGGGTTGTTGTGCCAGCTTCTACTGGTTACCGACGTCGCAAAGCTTGAGAACTTCATCATTTTCATAGCCTTTGTACCTGAGTCGGGTTCAACTGTTTCGTTTATAAATGTGAGGTGAAAATGTTTGTGGAGGAGGTCTGAGTTAGTACTTTCAAGCATTAGTCTATGCCTGGGGTATTTTGTCTCATATAATGGCTGTAAAGGCAACCAAACTGTCGTGCAAACATCCATTCCTGCACCTCGCCGTCCAGACATACATCACTTGTTCTCATATAAATTAAGCAATTCTTCTGGGAGGGAACAGATTTGTCTTTTACAAATAACGACAATTGGCGCTTGCCGGACAGTATAGCACTCCTAAACGGTGCCTGTGAGTTATGGAATGCCGCGTCGGCCGATTTCGGCCACACCTGTACAAGCTTGCCCCAGTGATCTGTCCACGTATTCGCTGTCTTGGATGATTCCTCTACGTAGTTTTGACGGTTTCCATCGACTCTGCAACACTTCAATTCGATAATACCGCTTATAACTTATTAGATTTTTTTTTGTCCTCCATTGGAGTCAAAGCGTGAGATTGTTTGCTTTCCTGGACATTTCGATAATCTCGATCCTTGTTGTATGGCGCGCTTTTCGTTTTCGTACGAATCTGTGTTCGATGACGAGTCGGGATCAAACATAAATGGCTTCGTGCAAGCTACCGAGATTCAATTATCTTTTTTCTTGTAGCAATTTCTCTATTACGTCGTGCCGCTAACGCAGAATCGGCAGCAATAGCTGGTACTTTCTACGCATTGTGGCAATTATATGATTGGTATCATAAGTTGGTCCATCCACGGGAGCTGTTGCCGCTCCGTTTCCATCGATTGTGATGCTGTATTGACTAGAAGCCCTACCAGTGTCGCATGCGTAATGGCTCTGCTTTTTCCGGGATGCGATAAATATCACATTGAGTTCCTGGGGGATTGCGTATTGCGTATGTCGTTTCCTTGATTCTCTAACGTCACCATTCCAGGTTACTGGAACCCATGGACCTACAGAAACTTCCGAGTTGAGGTTCCTTGTCAGTGTCATTGGTTCTTGTGACTGATCGGTCACTGGATGAACTTTGCTACTCATGCCTTCCTTTGAGTTTATTTTCTTGTGGACAAATGCGGAGTAGCGCCCCCAATAGCAAAGTATAAAAGGATGGCTAATTTCCGAAGTAAAGCTGACTTGATAAGTGCAGTGCATATCTCAAGCTAATGTGGTACAATGTTGTTCAATTTCGTACGCATGCTTCTCCCGCGGTGCGGTATTCGGACGATACATCGCACTGTAATATTGTTTTTATATCAAAATCACTGTATCGTAGGCTATGACTAAATGTCGTTGGAATTCGCTGTCGTAGTTGACGTTCCATTACTGCCTAATATGTTGCAGCGGGGCTGCCGTACCTCTTTCGCTTAGAGAAAGCTTGGTTAAGGTCGATGACCTTCAATCTATACCTAGGTATAGCGGATTGCAATCCACATACTCCAAGAGATGTCAAAACCTTAATTCAAGGTTAATTAACTCTTCCGTTCAAAACGAAAACTGTATCTCTCGAATTTATTTGCGGCAAAGCCGCCGATATCTGAATCCTTAAGTTTATCAATATAGCAAATCCTGATCAAATATACAATTACTGACAGTGCAGCCACGTACTATGTTCCCGTTTAGGTGTAGCCACACGATTATGTAGTCGCATCATCATGTGTGACCCAGACCCTTCATACCAGCGCACGTGACACCATGAATCAAATGTAGTGCCGCACGATCGCCACTCGCTAAAGGGGATCGGGCGTGATCTTCTGTGTACCGACTTGGTATGCAATTTCATTGCATACCATGTCGCCGCTCTAGTATATTGGGCGAACTCTCTTGCATGTGCAAGTTACCGACCACTTAATACATTGCTTGGGACTGCTAGTTATGGGCTCCATCCTGTCGCTTTGCGCTACCAATTCAAGATCGATAAATGCTTGCATTAGAGCCATTGTCATGCCGTTGCCAGTTGCAAGTGGCCAGTCGCCAGTCGCCAGTCGCCAGTTGCCAGTCGCCGGTTGTCAGTTGCCGGAGTATTGATCTGTTAAAGTTCTAAACTGTGCTTTATATCCCGAAAACTGTTGAGAGTTTGACCTGATAAAACTAACGGATGTAAGATTCGCCTTATCACTCCTGAACCCTTCTAAATTACCGACAACACAGGCTTTTGCCCTTGTTGTTGAAGTCCCACAAGTTGAGCTAGTGTGCGGAGTTTCGGCGCCTTAGCTCCTATCAAATGAAGCTTGAATTAACCTGTCGTTGCCAGCTCCCGGAGTATTGACCTCTTGAAGTTCTCGGCGTGACTTCTTGAAAACTGTTGAGAACTTGAACTGATAAAATTAACGGATGTAAGATCCGTCAAATCGATCCAAAACCCTTTAAAACTACCGGCAAGATAGATGTTTGCTCTCGTTTTGTGAATTCCACTAGTTGCGGTGGTGTACGGAGTTTCGGTGCCTTACCTCCTACCAAATGAAGCTTGGTTTAGCGTCTCAGGCAATCGGTACCAGGGCTTTCTTTTGAAATTGACGTCAGTGTTAACCTCAATTAGCTTGTCATATCAGTAACCGGTACGTCAGCTTCTACATTTAGCTCTCGGTGTCATCATTCTCGTGTATGGCGTTCTTAGACTAGTCAATACTGGACATTTGCTGAAGGGATGCCGCATGCGCATATCGAGCCCTTACTTTTTTTGATGGCTTAGTGACCGATTTTGTATTGGGTTCGGGCTGAACCTCCTCCATTCTCTGTTTTCTGGTTAATGGTTGTCAATGCATGCAGATGACTTCGTATTTGGTTCTACATTAAATCGCCTTCTTTTACTTTTTTTCTGCAGTGTCTGGTGATAACGCTGCTTGTGCTGCACTAATTCCCGCTTTTTGACTCTCCACTCTCTTTGCTGCTGCTGATTTGTCCATCTCTATTGTGGTGAATGGCATATTTTAGTCCTAAAATGTTCAGCATCCTAATCTTCTGCTACCCGTTTTGACATTAACGAGCTGTGATCCGTTAGAGGAACAGATAATGGTAGCTCCGTTGAATCTGATTGTAGCTGATAGTTATAGCTGGACTAAGCATCTGACATATTGATGTGCGTTGCCTCCGCTAGCACTCGTATGTCTTCTTTAATAGTTGGTGTATGCTGACGGCTCTCGTGAATAATTGTTCCAACCCATAGCTGCAGATGCAGCTCTTATTTGACTTGACTCGAATAGTTCGGGAGCAGATGAAGCCGTTCCTTAGAGTCAAGAATAATTTTAAGCGAGTCTGGCTTCTTACGACAAACGATCGTTCCTTCAGCCATTCCCTCAATGATTTTTTTCTCACTTGGAGTTTCAGATCACAGCAATTTACCCGTGGTTGCTGTTGCTAGCTGTTCACAAACTTCTCCAAGTCTCTCGACGTCGTGACGATTGAAAATGGCCGAACTAAACACGAACTTCTAGGATGTTCCCACATTTGATGTCCTTTATCTTTTTCTGACTTTAAAATGTTCTGTTACTTTGACTTTTACTGCAAACTATAACATATAATCATGAACAGTTCGATTAGCAAGAAAAATGGGCTAAAACCGTTTGAGTGTTATGTACTAGTCGTGAGTGCACATAATTCCCAAAGCATCCTGAACAATAAGATATTCTCTTCACCTTTCGACTTGAAGTATTTCACAGCATTTCTGGTACTGTGGAGTCTTGGGTTAGCCCTGCATCCTCTCGATAAACGGTCATTCCAGACAAGCCCAGGAACGGAAAACTAGACTTCTGAACGTGTGCTGGTTTGTCCTCCCCGGGGACCTTCAGAGCCTTCATTCATTGAAAGATCGTAATACAGGAACATAGTGATTCTAACTTTAGGATGGATACACTTTGATCTTTTGAACGACGACAGCTAGTACTGGTCCGTCGGGGCATTGGAAAGCGAGTTGGCGCAATATGTCCGATTCTTCCGAATATGAACAGAAGTCATTCCTTGGTAGCAGCACCTCATACCACCACACTTAAGACTAATCATAATCTAATAGGCGCCTTCTTCCGCAATACTGCCTATTGTAAATATTCAAATCATCATTTACGGTAACGTAATCAAATTCAGACTTTTTGGATTCAGTATCTACGATTTCTTTCGTCGATGACTGAAGTCTGCAACACTTCTCTATGAGTAGATGTTGTATGAGGTATTGCGCACATTACTAATCTCAACTGTTTGGGTCACTTCACGCTTCATGAGTGCCAGATTATGAAATTGAAAAAAAGATACTATGGCAAAGGCAAGGTCACGACAGTTTGAATGATTCGAAGGACTTAGAATAGGGGTATGATGTTTCTTTTGCTTATTTAATAAATTAACTAAACCAACTTAAAATCTAATTTCTCAAAACTTTTCAGCTATGCTCATAGACTTTCTGCTCTCTAATTTGAGATTTTATTTTCATCCATATTTTTATATTTGATTATTAATTTTAAAATTATTTATGTAATTAAAGGTAGATTATTAAAAAAACGCTGGAACAAAAAAATCACTAATTCTAGGTTTTGAATGTGATTTACAAGATCAAGCAATGATTTTTAGTTCAGATCGCAGTCGTAAAGCGTAGTGTCCAGGTAATTATTCATAATACTGTGACTGTTACCATTGATACGGTACAGTAATTCATGCAATGGGTAAAGAACAAGATATTAGGAAAACCAACCTCGTTTCATCAAAAAGACGAGGCCAAGACAATACGTGAATAGCTTAGCGAAGGTCGTAAATGCAATTTTTTGTATCATAATTTGGTAATGCAGCTTTGTCTATGCATTTGCAAGCTGCGAAGCTTCCCGTTCTAAGTAAGATCTAGTAATATGCAGAAGCCTTCAAAGATGCTGGTTATATATAAGGAGAAGATACCCTTGACATCGCTGGGTTCAGTTCTGCAAAAAAAAATTTTGCTCTGCGACGCCATTTAAAGCCGCAAAGGCGTACATCTTAGCACAGAAGGCTTAAATTATTTGCACGTACAGAAAAGTTAACATGCTCTGGTTATGTGTACCCGTTGTGTCTACTGTGATGTGAACAATGTACACACTGAACTGCGTGCACCTGAATCCCTCATCTTAAAAGCTGAAGACAATGAACTAGTATCCATTCAGAAATCTACAACATTCAAGATACTTATGCCTATGTGCGATCAAACTACAGATGGCAACCTTTTCACCATAACGTAAAAGCCATGACACAAAAGTGTGAAGCAGTGGGTAGAATACATTAAGTATGGTACTTTGTGCAGCGTAGTGAATAAAATGAAGCTCAACGATGTGTCGACGGAAGGTAGTGCTTTGACGGGATGTACTTATAAGTAACGAGTGCTCCAAGCATCGAGACCGTCGCACTTAAACCCAATAGGTACGATACGCCGAACCGAGCTTCAATAATTCCAAATGAAGCAGCTCCAACTGCAGCGCCGAGTTTACCCGCTGCTGCAGCAATTCCGTTGAGCTCAACACGCACGTCTTCCGAGAAAATCTCAGCGGGAAGGCAAAACGTACCGACATTTGGTCCAAAATTCGAGAAGAAGAATGTAAGCGCGTACATTCCAAGCAGCAAACCTCTGTAATCCAGTAATTGTTCGTAGAAAACTCCTAATGCTAAAAAGAGCAACGCCATCACGACAAAGCCCAAGATTTGAATTGCTTTAAAGCTGATTCTACCAACAACACAGATGGCAAGCAGGTTACCAGGTAGAGCAATGGCTGCCACAACTAGCGAACAAAGTGCAACGTCAGCGAAATGATGTTTATCCAAACCGTACGTATCTTGCAAAATAATTGGTGTGAAGATTACATTCCCATAAAATGTTACGTCAAAGAGGAACCAGCTAGCGCAGGCACCAAACAATTTCCGCCGCAGCGAAGGACTAGCTTGTAACTTTTTCCACAATGACAGGCGATGTGACCCTTTGACTCCGAATCTTTGAAGCTCAATTAATGGAGTGGTGGACGACAATGGTAAATCTTCTTTAACATCAAATGCTCGACGGAGCACAAATAAACCAGGAAAAGCGCCAATCAATAAAAGTAATCGCCATTCAATTGCGCGTTGTACCTGTAAAATTAACATAATGTATGCCATCAATGGTGCTAATAGCTGTCCAATGCCCTGAAAGCTAAACACCGCCGCAACAATCTTGCTCTTTCTGAACTCATCTTGACTATGTGTCGACTCTACTGCTGACGCTGCTGATAGTGGATAAACACCCCCAACTCCGACTCCTAGCACAAATCGACATGCTGCTAGTATGTGATAAACAGAGTCGGTTCCCCATGGTAATAGAGCACTCGACGCAGCTCCTAAAATGGACAAGAGCAGCGTCAAGATCATACCCTTCTTACGGCCCACAACCGCCCCAACATAGCCAAAAGTGAGTTGTCCCACAATAGCTCCAACCAATGAGCACGAGTCTACAGTCGACCGGAGCTCTGGACTAGAGTTTGGATACGACCGTTCCAGCATCATTAGCGCATAGTTGATCACAGCCAAATTATACTGCCATACACAATTCTAAATAAAACCAAAGTTGATAGAATACCTTCATTATGCAACGTACGGCTGTACTGAGATTAGCAATGGCAGATACCAGTATCGGGTCGCTAATTATCACTTCATCTTCGCCATTTCTTGTCAATTCGGAGATCGTACTGCCGTATTCAAAGTGCGGAGTCTGTCGATATTTTACTAGAAGAAGCTCTGATAATTCAGATGATTGACTAGTGTCAGTAGGATGATCACTAATGTGCGGTGCTACTTGGTTAAGCAAAGGGTCTGTTTTGATTCGTCTGGAGTCGAGCATGAGTTTTGGTCAATGATTTTTACAGTGGGGTCGCATGTGACTGCTCGAGCGTTTATTGGCTCAAGTTTTATTAGAAGTCAATAATTTCTCATCTTAACGCACAATCAAGAAATTATCTTCATGGAGACATGAAGAACAAAAAGAAGAACTTTTGTCTTCACTCTGTACACGACAGCATGAGGTTATGCATAGTGCTTAAAACTTGAAAGATAAATGTGTGAAGACCATCACTCTGGTAAACTTCAACTTGCATATGTAGTATAGTTCCTTGTAAAATCTACTTGGCATTTTTAATCCATGATCGCGATGATACAAAGTTAGACAACCTACTCTTGATTAATGTAGATGACGAACGAGTAGTTTCTTGCTCGTCAGTTAGCCTGACATCGACATACATACACTCATATTCTGGATTCTTAGCACGAGTCTTGTCCAGTTTCTCGTCATGATTGTACTCATTTGACCCGTGCTGAAAACTCATCGAGTCAGGATATGATCTAGAACGCTGGCTCCTCAGTTTGCAAAGCTGACTTATGCCCTGGAATTTCTTGGCGTGTAAAGCCACAGATACACGAGCGCTGTTGAAACTGGATGAGAGCAACGTATAGCGCGCGCTTCCAGCCTTTCCGGTTTGCTTCGTCCTGGAATCATTATGCCGTGGTGAATTTATTATATTTCGCGCATTTTCGCGAGTATCATACCCATCGCCCAGATCAAGATAGTTTTGGCCGACATCTAACGTAAATGCCAGAATGGACGGATTTTTGTAGAGTCGTTCGCGCTCGTGAAAACCGAGAGCTGACGAAATTTTGGGGGCCATAGTTAGCAAATTTGCAAGTGATGAGATTAAATTCAGCGACCTAACGTGGTGTGCAGCGAAATGAATGTGTGAATTAAAATTTGTTCGAAATCTACTTTGAGACGATGATGACGCATGCTTTCGTCGCATTTCAGCAGCCTCCCGTGCTATTAAAATAAGCACAGCATTTACGTCTGTAGATGCCAACCTAGACTGTTGCAGAAAAGCTAAGTCGGGATGGGATTAGACTATGAAATAACTCCTCTTTTCAGCCCCCTTGCGAGAAACCGCATAAAAATTTACCCAGAGCTCTGAATCCCATACCATTCATTGCTAGCATTTGTTCACTACTCGCAACCTTTTGATTAGTCCATAGAAACGGACGACAGGCTAATCGTAGTTACTGCTGATGGCGAGAAATGCAATTTACCGAGACTTGAGCTAATGCGGTATATAATCATGTAATTACTCCACATGATTAGCTATGGAATTTACTTCGACAGCATTTTCACGAGTCGCCAGGTTTCAGAGGCGTTGCTCCTTTCCAGCGCCAGCGGGCGTATCCTTGAAATAGCTTTGGAGTCGATCCGAGGGGATAACGAGCAAAAAATAGTGGCGTTTGGATGTGCCATCTCCTTCAACATCAATGCGCGTCATATCATCCATCGAGAATAGTGTTCGCAGACTGGCGTTGTCTGCATCAAGGCGATCAAGTAGATCAAACCCGTGCTGAACCAAAAACTGCACATTTGGGGCGATAAATTTACCATCTAGAGAGTCCACTTTTGCTCGCAACTCGTCCATAAGTTTGATAATTATGTAACTCCGCACTTGTTCGGTAAGGAATGAACGCAGATCATACACATACCCGTCATTTTTTTCAATGAATACTTTTTTGAAAACATTGTGACTTCGGGCGGCGTTGTATAGAGCGTCAGCCATGTTTAGGCGCCTTTGAGCAAGCAGAGAATGCAGCAGACTCAGCGTAGTAGTTGGGTTCAGTACGAAAACTCCTTTCCTATCAACAAGTGGCAAATTTTCTTCAAACACCGCTTCGTATGCCAGTTCCGGGTGACGCTTACGTACACAAATTCGCACAAGAACATCATACACGCGCGGGTCCGCAGAGACGTTAAATTTTACCATCTCTCGCCACAAATACATGGATCGCCCGCAATGATCTTCTTCGCGTAGTCGTCGAAAAAACGCTTCTATGACGGTGTCGTCGCGTGGTTCATCAGAATTAGGATATAAAGCGCGTACAACGCCGTCCGGGTTCATGTAAGCAGCCAGCCCCATTGAGCCCACGAGACTACCACAAAAGAGTGTAGTCATCATATAATCCTGGAAATTGATAAGCGGGACAAATGCTACGCCCATCATTCCCACTCCCATAAGAGCCGCTTTTACTTTCTTTTGATCTATCGCACCGATTTCACCATGATAGACCGCATGCATCATGGTGATGAATGTGATCAAATCCGGTCTGATTTTACGCTCCTTTAACTCCTCGTACAACTGGAAAGCTGTCGTCAGGTTTTTAACTTTTCCACAAGCCTTAAGCAAGATGTTGTAGTGTACCAAATTCGGTTCAATTGTCGTCTTTTTAAGATCGTTCATTAAAGCCATCGTGGCATCAAAGTCTCCATTTGCAGCGTGGGCATCCATCAAAATTGCGAATGTGTGGCCTCCTGCGGGAATCCCTTCCTTTTGCATTTTTTCATACAATGCCAGCGCTTCAGTCACGTGTCCTTTGCGTACATAGGCACTCATTAGATTATTGAACGTCATATCGTCCATTTCAACGCCTGCGTCTTCCATCTGTCCCAGCACATTCTGCACCCTCTTTGGATCTCCAGTTGTCCCTGCAACAGCAAGCAATGCCGAGTATACGTGCAAGCTGGGGATACTGCCGCGCTTCACAGCCTCATCAAAAATTTTAAAACCTTTGTCTATATCTCCGAGTGCTGCACAGGCCTGAATGGCACTGGCAAGAGCTGGATTTAACAAAAAGACATTCTCACTCATCAGCTTTAAGGCCAGAGACATAGCTTCTTCGTTACAACCAGCCTTCTGATAAATTCGAATGCTTTCCATCTCTGCTTTTCCATAAATGGTCGGGGCTTTTTGGACGATATCACAAAGTGCAACAGCAGCTGTGCACTGCTCCCGAGTCTTACATCGCTGCAGCAAGATGCTAGCACGACGCAGATAATCCATGGTGGGCTGATAGGTAGCACCTTGGCGCTTGGCTTCTTGCAGCATTGCTTCAATATCTTCCACAATTTGAAAATGCGAAACATTATGTCGAATTACACTAGGGTTGGCCTTACGCTGGTTCGTATTTCTAGTAGGCTTGCGAGCTGGCAACCTGTGTTTCGGTGCAGCGGCGGGGTGCTGTGCTGGTGATACAGACATTGCACGAACAGAAGAGTATACATCTGTTTGATAGGCAGGCGTTAAGTGCCTCAGGCGAAGGAGCCGTCGCTGCATTGAGTCCTTGACGCTCTTGTCGATTCCTCGATTGGTGATGCTAAAAGCACTGACAAAGAGCATATGATACACAGTATCGACTTTTGTACTATAATAATTGCTACTACAATAATTTACGTGAGTCTTACATCTTCCTCCCCTCGCCATGCTGGCGCCCAGGTCTTTCCTGATGCAAAAGCTGTGCGCACCTTACGACAGTGGCGTCGGTGCTAGCGTGGTGCCTGCGCCAAAAGGTGATAAGATTGCAAAGCCGAAGCCTAAGAATATGATTAAGAGCGAAAAGCAGACTTCAAATGTTGGCTGGATCCTGAGTCTTACCAAAGAGGAGAAGCTGCCGCTAACTTTGGGTGTCATGGGCATGTCGATTGCTTCGGCAATGAACTTGGTGTTTCCGCGAATCATGGGCAAAGCTATTGATGTGGCATCGGGAAAACCTGCACCCTATGGCCTCAGTCATAAGGGCTTCGTGGTCGTCGTGCTCACTACCTTCGTCACTGGTTCTGTCGGCTCTTTCTTGCGTACATATTCACTTGGTATGGTAGCCGAGCGCATTGCCGCTAAGTTACGTCGAAAATTATACAAGGTTCTACTATACCAGGAAATGGATTTTTTTAACAACCGTAAGGTTGGTGAATTGGTGACCAGACTGAGCGGAGATTGCCAACAGACAGCTAATGCGGTGGTTGACGTGATGTCTAATGGCTATCGATCGCTGAATTCTGCCATCGGTGCATCCTGCATGCTGTTGACGATCTCACCCAGGCTCACATTGGTATCGCTCACCATATTGCCACTTTTGGGCACTGGAGCCATGATATTTAGCAAATTTTCAAGTCGTTTGGCCTCGAAGCACCAAAATGAAGTGGTTAGGATGGCAGGAATTGCCGAAGAAAGACTAAACAACATGCATACGGTAAAGCTTTTCTCAGCAGAGCCAGACGAATTGAATCACTTTGACAAAATTAATAGCTATATTCTAGCCATCGCTGATCAGTCTAAGCGCGCGCGCGGAGTATTCATGGGGACCCTATCATTGTCGATTAATTGCTCACTATTTTCTGTTCTGTATTTCGGCGGATCGTTGGTGGGCTCAGGTGAACTCACGATTGGTACGCTTACGTCATTCGCATTGTACAGTGGTTTTATGGGTCTTGGCTTCTCCGGTTTGTCATCATGCCTAAGTGAAATAAAGAAGACGCGGATATCGTCAGAAGCCTTATTTGATTTGCTATCGCTGCCAGCCGCAGTAGATGGAACGAGAATATTATCATCTGTTAAAGGTATAGTGCGGTTTAACAATGTGTCGTTCGCATACCCGTCGCGCCCGCACACACTAGTTCTGGACCGCTTAAATATGGAGATTCAACCTGGTGAGGTGGTTGCAATTGTTGGCAAGAGCGGTGCTGGTAAGACTACTATTGCGTACTTAATGTCAAAAATCATCAAACCTACTAGCGGGACGGTGACTCTTGATGGCGTGGACATTGCTGAAATGGACGCTTCATGGCTTCGCAAGCAAATTGGTGTCGTCAATCAGGTTCGTTGCTCGGTAGATTATCAGAAAATAGCATGATACTGACGAATCATTGCTGTACACGTAAAATCACTACCACAGGAACCATCGCTTTTTGCGTCGACTATTGGTGAGAATATCATGTATGGTTCTGCACTGCACAACAAGGAGCAGCTTATCGCTGCTGCCAAAGAGGCACATGCACACGACTTCATAATGGAGCTTCCAAATCAGTACGACACATTTGTGGGTGAGAAGGGTGTAGAGTTATCCGGTGGTCAAAAGCAACGCATTGCCATCGCTCGCGCGTTGTACAAGAAAGCGAATGTTTTATTGTTTGACGAAGCCACAAGCTCTCTTGATGGTCGTAGCGAAGACATGATCCGTCGCGCGCTGCAGTCTGCGGCCGAAAATCGCTCGGTCTTAATTATTGCTCATAGGCTTAATACTATAAAGCACAGCAACCGTATCATTCTGCTTGAAGAGGGCGTTATTGCCGAGGCTGGCACATTTGAAGAGCTGAATCGAGAAGGGACAAAATTTTATAACCTCGCTCATAACGAGGCTCCATTAATTTGATTGCAAATTTCAAATTAAAAAATGTCAGCGAGTTTCCGTTCCCGCCTACTTTACTCGGTTTTGTTTGAAACCGAATCCTGTGTGCTTTCATTTTGAAGCTTTTTGGTACATGCAGGGCACTGAGCGATTACCATTTCAAGGTGATCAGCGTAACTATTCATCTGTGACAAATTGTCCTATAAAGGTTTAACTCCATCAATACTCGTACAAATATCACACAAATGCTAGTCGTCATACCTCAAGCAGTTTCAGACGACCATCAATTGCCGTCCTCTCTTCACTCGCATTTTTGCCATCAGCTAATTGAGTCGAATGTGCAACTTTCAGCATTCCCTCTAGTTCCTCGATTTTGGAATCTCTTTCCTTGATGTTTTCAACCAGCTGATTGACATCATTCAACACCTCGGTATGCTTAAGCTCAAGCGCCGTGTATTCGTCTGAATGTGCACCGTTGAAACAGTCATTTTGAATCGTTCAGCAAGTGTCAAATTTACCATTTAAAGCTGACTTTTTTGTCTCGAGTTTTGTGATTTGAGCCAAGAGATCTTGAATTTGATGCTCGCTTTCCGTGCCTTCTATATTTTGTTGGCTCACATCATTGCTTGCAATAAGCAACGAGTCACGATTACTTTCCCAGTCGATATCTTTTTTGGTATTATCTGCCGTTTGTAGAATATCTTCGCTGGACTCAATCTTCACAGCATTTCCTGCATGCTCCGGCTGGTACACAGGTAAGATTAACGAGCAAACCAAAATGCGCCCGCTATCAATACCTTGCCGACCTCTTCCAAAGCTCGGTGGTCTATTTCTACGGCCGAGATGCGCTTGCGTTTGCTCTGACCAGTTTGTCCCAATTCGCTACAAACTTCAGCGATTCGTGCATGAGATGAGTCTCCGTGCAGAACATTAAGCTGCTGAAGAGCCAGAGCACTCGACTTAATGCGCAAAGCAAGAGAACTGAGTCCACAGTATTCACCGTAAGGGATCATGATTTAGATGATCCGAACTATCGAGGTAGCTATGTGAATCAAACGCACCGGATGTACTGCTGTTTGATGATTCCCGTCGATGCCTCAAGCTTCTCCATCTTTTTTACCAAAATTGCGTTTAACTCTCGCGCAGTCTGCAAATCTAGTTTGTACCTATCAAGCTGCTTAGATTGGTGTTCCTTCGTCTGCTTTAATATCCCAATCTCCTCACACAGCTTGGCCTTGCTCTCATGAGTTTCAGCTAGCTCAGCTTGAGCTATCCAGTCAGCATCGTCAGCGTTCAAACATCCACAATTCGATACCCAATTGCAGTTTCATACTCTGCTGTAAATGTTCGCTAAGCAGCTTCTGTTTCGTAATAGCTGACATGTTTTTAATGCTCTCCTCTTGCTTAAGCTCTTCATATTGTTTCATCTCCTGCAGCATCTTCTCATAACGATCAAGATACGGCTTTGTGTCAATGCCTTTCTCATCTCGATCCTGCATTCTGTGTTCGGTGCGGGCCTTGGACTGCGAATCGTAAACTGTGTGCGGACTATATGAATACAACTTCAATGTTCAGATCATCACTCTGATTAAAATTTGTGATGGTGCAGAATATTCGTTTCCGCAGTCTAATGCTATAATACATTGCTCCACAGGTATCCTTTTGAATATAACTATTTGATAGTACATTTAGTAAATGTACTATCAAATAGTATATTCAATAGGTAGAAAAGGTGCAGAATTAAAAATTGATCTTTTCATAAATCCGCTACCCTTTTGTTGAGTAGCTTTCAATTCTGTCCTTCTATCAAGCATGATTGGAACAGCTGTGACACAGAGTCAGTCGAGTGGCATAGCACATCTGATAGAAGATAAAGACAAACAGCATACGTCGCCTGTACCAAAACAGTTGTCTTACAATTTGACGATTGTGATCCACGCACCAAGTACAGCTCATAAGACATTTTGTTTATCATCTGAGCTGTATTTGGTGCGTGCATCACAATGCAGTACTTGCCTCTGCTATTCTTGTTAGGTGTCACTACCATCAATCACTTCTCGAAAGTCACGGGTTACAAGGAACGATCGTATGACGAGATCGTTGATTACCTCTTGAAACTTGAAACGATGTACGAGGATTATGCCGATGCATTTAGCGTACAGGACAGGTATAATTTGCCCAGATATGATGAAGTTAACTGCACTCGAAACAACCAAATGGTGCCTTGTGAGCAATATGTTATTAAAATCACAGAGAAGGCAACATTGCCAGATCCAGAGCGTCCCGAACTAATTTTTAGTGGCTGTGTCCACGGTAACGAAAGAGTTGGTCCACAAGTTGTTGTGGAGCTGGCAGCGCTCTTGCTCTCGCACGCAAGCAGAAGTGATGGGAACCCATGGCTTCAACACCTTGTAAAAACTCGCACGATCGTGATTGTGCCAACTGCTAATGCGAATGGATACAATCACAATGCTAGAAGGGAGCTTGATGTTGACCCAAATCGTGACTTTCCATACAATTTGGAAGACAACACGAAATGCATGGTGACTACAGCTGCCCGTGCACTGAACGAATTGTGGCGCGACCACTTGTTTCAGCTTGGAATCACGTTTCACGCCGGAAGGGAATGCATCACGTACGAATGGGGAGCCAAGAACCATATTTTGCAATCGAATGTTAGTGAGAAGAGTCCAGATTCTCAAAGTCAGCAGCAACTCTCCCGAATTATGTCTCGATATGGAGGAAAGTTTGAAGAGAGTGGTCAGTTTTATCAAGATGGTACTATGAATGATGTTGTTTACCCTGTTGACGGTGGAATGGAAGACTGGGGATACGCTGCGTCGTGGGAAAACGAGTTTTCAACTCCAAAACCTATTCACACATGTAATCCGTCAAGCTTTGGAGGGTATCCAGCTGCGAAGACCAGGTACAACAATGCTACCCATCGCGCGTTTAACGTCTTGATTGAAACGAGTGAAAACAAGCAGCCAAACGCCTCAAGTTTAGGTGACAGTTCGACACTCTCGGAATTAGCCTTGAATGACTATCTACCAGCGACAGAAAGGGTTGGTCACATTCCTCGCAATGTACGCTTGTCACTGCTCTACATAGATCTAGTGCAGCCGTATGTGCTTTGGAAGACACATCCGCTAAAAGCAACTGTCGCGCAAGCAGTAAAATTTAAATGGGAAGTTGCGGGTGCCATAACGGTGGATAGCACGCGTTTAAAAGTGTGGTCTGACGACCCTGCTGATGCTAAGCTTTCGCGAGCACAACGTGGTGTCACGAGATGGTACCACGAGGATCTGAACTTGAAGGTGAAAGCAAATAACAAGGGCTTATTTGCCGCCCACCTCGATTTTGCGGCTGCTGGGACGTACTACGTTAAGGCCATTGCTACAGTCGACCAAAGCTGGGCAACCCAAGGTACTGGTGAAGATCAACCGGTGCCTATGGTTGGGCCACAAACTCACATCGTGAATGCTCGAACGAACGACGATTGGCTGTACATAAACAACGGACGGATTGTTCGAGGTCGAACGGTGTGGTCTTCTCAAGTAGTGACTATTGTTGTGACGTAAGAAATTTCTCGACAATACAACCTTTAGACTTTGAAGCGTAAAAGTACTGCCAAAACACAGGACAATAAATTTGTCAAGATGATCGATCATTGATATGTTCGTAAATATAAAGTATAGCTTTCAGAAAAAAATCCTCTGAACAAATTCATGCCGGACAAGAAGCTACATTCGCTTCACGTCTCGGTAATTGTGTTTCGTTGGTTTTTACAACTCCGGATAAGCATTTGCGGGGCGGTAATGGGATCCTGGGTAGCCCCTATTTAAACCACGTGGAGGCATTCGAGGACCTGCCAATCCACCATGCGCTCCAAAGCCGTATCCCCCATTAGCACCGCCATTTCCCGCTGGTCCAGCAACTTGAACCAGAAACATATGACCTGATGGACATGCTACTCGCCTGCAATTGATCGCATGCAGAAACTTTGTAAGCGTTCGACAAAAAAGAAGGAACCTCCATGTAGATAACTTACATGTTATACATGTGAGGAAGTACACGCATCTGAATATGACATTGCGGGCAACGCACAAGTGCACCGTGCGAGCTCGCTCTGTATGAAACTGGATGATTGAGATCTGTAGGTCCAGAAGGAGTGGACATCCGCATACCAATTGTACCAACAGTACCTCCAAACGCGTCACCTCTTGGCTTGGCGTCGGCCTCAGTAACAGCAGCGCCGCAATCTCGACAAAATCGGTGTCCAAACCGTACTCGCGGGTGATCGCATTGTTTCTTGACCTGCATTTCAGTCATTGTAGCACGACAGGATGGACATTTGTCATAATTGCTTGAGTCCGACTTTTGAATTTCTTTCAAGCAGCTCCAATGAAAACTGTGACCACAAGCTGTTGTGTAAATTGCAGTACCAACATCCATCGTCTCTAGACAAATAGCGCATTCATCTGCTTCCTGTACCACCGTGGTCCTTAGTGTCTCTGTGCCATCCAAGTCCATTTTATCATCAAAAAGACCATCAGCCGCGTAAGGCTTTGCTGTCAAAGCGACAGATCGCTTCTCAGCATCTTCAATAAATGAACTTAATTCCTTCGAGTATAATGACTGAGGTGGTCCATGGCATGCACAATCATCTAGACTTCTTGAATATCTCGACTGCAATGTTCGCCGATCTGGTCGCGGACCCAAGTGTTTTTCTTCAAGAGCTCGCAATCGTAGTTCGCGTCGAGCTTGAGCTTCTGCAACATCGCGTTCTCTCTGATAACGCTCTGCTTCCCGTTGCCGCTCTTCTTCTTCCTGTGCGGCAGCTTGTCGAGCCCTTGCGCGCTCAACATCTTCCGCACGTCGACGTTCTAACATCAATTGATTCTGATCTCGAACGCATCCATCGCATACGCGTACAGGTTCATTGTGAAAGCGAACAATCGTAGAGCTAGGCATGACCTTGTGAGTGCGAGCACAGCTGCCACACACTGCGTTGCCACATGCCTATATCCATATAACATATCGATCACAATCGCATATAAGCAATAAGGAATCATTCAGAGTGTAATGAGGTATATCTACCCGGCAGCGATGTTTGCGTCGAAAGGCGTGAAACTTTTTCTCGCATACAAAACAGTCGGTGGCAGATTCGAAGAGCGCGTCAGGAATAGCAGGGGGTGCTTCACCACCCAGTACATTCATGCCAAAACCCATACCGGTTGAGGCTAGCTGCGGATGCATGGAGACAGTCTGTCTCGGTGTGTCCAACACTGTCGTTATCGGTGTGCTTGATTTTGTATGAAACGATGAAGAATGAAAATATAGGGGAACATAGAATATAATAATGTAACTTTTGGACTAAACAGCATGACCAAGTCTAGTGAAGCCAATCGAGTAAGTCTTATTGCGTCTTTGTCTGCGCTTTTACGCCTTCGCTAACGATACTTTACTTAGGATATTTATTATCGCAAGGCTAAAGAAGTTGGCTTTCGTGCACGCTCGGCTTTTAAGCTGCTGCAGCTCGATGAGCAATTTGATTTCTTACGTCATGTGCATCGCGCTGTGGACCTGTGTGCGGCACCTGGTAGTTGGAGCCAAGTGCTGAGTCGCAAGCTGTACGACTCTAGTAACATACGTAACGTAGAGAATGAGGACGTGCGCATTGTGGCGGTGGATTTACAGGAGATGGCTCCCATCGCCGGGGTACAGCTACTACAGGGCGATATTACGTCAAAACGCACGGCTGAACAAATTATTCGCTTGTTCCACGGCGGAAAGGCCCAATTAGTCGTAAGCGACGGGGCACCTGACGTCACAGGCGTACATGAAATCGACGAATTCGTGCAGGCCGAGCTACTGGCAGCCGCACTGAACATTACTACACACGTGCTAGAAGAGGGCGGTGCATTTGTAGCCAAGATCTTTCGGTGTGAACAGTATGATCTGCTGGCCATGCAATTAAGCCTCTTCTTTGAAAGTGTCTCTTGCTCTAAGCCCATGAGTAGTCGTGCCCAAAGTAATGAAGCCTTTGTGGTGTGCCAAGGCTTTCGACTTCCTGAAAATTACACGCCTGTGATGACATCTCATCTTCTTCCGATGTATGGACTAAAGGAATCCGACGAATACGATCCAAAACTAGTACCTTTCCTTGCATGTGGGGACTTGTCTGGGTACGATGCCGAGCAGCAGTTTTACTAGCGTCTTGAAGGGAACATAATTGTAGGTAGAGATTTTTACGAGCTTTGCTTGATTATGAATGTAATATTAACTAGCTCGGACTACTGACGCAATGCGAGCTAACGACGACACACTCTCGATTGCAAGCACCAAAGCATTTTTCTTGGACTGTAAAACATCAACGACTAAAGCATCATTGATAACTTTCTTCTGGTCGCATCCATGGTTATCATTCCGATCGTCATAAGCTAGTACCTTTATCACAGAATGCCTCTTTGTATCCCAGCCATAAAGCTTAAACGCGTTGGACTTTGTCAAAACATTTTCATCTAAAATCGCCTTTGTCGCCATGAGAGACTCACAATTTGCATTGCGAACCTGATCAATTGTTGCCACACGATCAACATAGGAAGCTTGACTTCCACATAAGCGCCCAGCCATATCTTCAAGACAAGCAGCAAAAACAGTGACTATTTGGCGTAGCTGACTCAATGTCCGTGCTGTTTGCTTTTGTATCTGCGTGCTTGTGAATGATCCCGTATCCGACACTGAAACAGGGACTAGCTGACTTGCACGATGGCGTAGCAAAGCTGCGAGATGTATTTCGAAACAACCGCCACCAGCTACAACATCCGGATTTTCGATCAACTTTGCTAAAATTGAAAGTGAAACATTCATCACGTGGCTCAATTCATCGTACGCAATCTGGTCAGGTGCTGCAACTGTGATTGTCGTAACTGCATGGGCTTTCTTGCTGTCTATCGTTTGACTTGCACAGCCCTCACGGTGCAGTCGAATATATTGCTTCTTGCCCAGCGTGTGAGTGGTTATAAGAGTCAAGAAACCCAACGAGTCTCTTCTAACACTTTCATCGATATTCCAGTCACTAAGGATAGTTGCCCCACTAAGCATTTGAACACCAACTACATGTAGTACCAAGGTTACGCCTTCAGCAACATATTACATAAATGTTTAAGAAATCAGACGTACGGATATGGGCAGCGGAAAGTTGGGAAAGTGTGAAGATTCCCTTAGCAGCTAGATACGTCTGCAGATAACTCGGGATGATTTTCTGCGAAAACACTGCTGTAGCACCTAGCTGCTCTAATTGATCTCCAACTTTTCGTAGTGCCTTTAGTCGGAAAGCATCTAACGAACCCTTGTGCGTGATGCTTGTATTACTAAAACAATCGTTCACATTCGACTCTATAAGCGGTTCGATGGTGATGTTGAACAAGGCGACGCGAACATTGGAGATAGCAGGAGAACGCTTTGTGCTTTGACAAATTCCACGGTCAGGCCATGGAACATCAAGAAAAACTGTTTGCTTCCAAACTTCAGACTCGGCGATAGACTCTAGGCCGGGAGTATATAGAAGCTGTACGGGAACGTTCTCACCCGGGTGCTCGATAACATACTCGAAAACACTCACAAATGCTCGAATAATCAAAGGCGCAACCACAACGTTCATATTCTCGATATCAATGCTCGTCGTTGACTTGGACGCTATAATACTTCGTATCACGGCGGTGATCAAGATGGAAGAGCGCCAACTTACTGCCACTCGCACAGGACATCTAGGGGACTCAAGATACTGCACGGTCCATTCCAACGCTAATTGTAGCCCTAAGAAGAAGACAATCGTTAGTTTATCATGAAAGTTTAAGAATAGGATAGGTTTTCTACCTTGACTTATTAATCTATGATGAATCTGAGCCAGACTGCCCTCCTGAATTTCCAGCTGGAGACTACAATCACAACGAGTAAAAAAAGCTCTATCTCTCGCTAAGTTCAATCTTTTGACACCTGGCACTCATTCCCACTAGAAATAGTCCTGAATCACTATAATTGTGAATCTAAAGCGTCAATACCCCATACCATAGTCAAATCATACAATCGCATTTTGCAATGCAACGAAACGATCTACCTTGCTTTTCAGTATATGAACATATGCGTTCGCAATTGGACAGTCTCCTATGCTGCACGTCAGTATCTCATAAAACTTTATCCACCACGACATAAGCAGACTACTAGAGCCTCCAAAATTGGAGTGCGTAGTAATACTTACTTTAAATTGGCAAAGTACCGCTCAGCAACAGACGTGACCGTAAGTTCGTCAACACATTGAGTATTTGCCTGTAAAACTTGTGCTCTGCCCATTGGACCATAGCTGCCACTCACAAGTGTCATTAAGTCCTTACAGATGTTAATAAGCCGCGATTTGACATCTTCACGATTGAGTTGCTCCATCTATACAAGTGTCTGTCAAAGTTACAACAGATTTGAGTGCAAATTTCAGCCAATCCAATAGCAATAACGCTACTGACTATCTGACGTGACAGCGAGAAACACTTGTCAGTACACATGTATTATACCGCCGACTAGACAACGGCTTTAGTGTTTTACGCTTCGAGTTTTTCAAGTAGGGGCGGTCACCTGCACCCATTCTAACGTGCCAGAACCAATTCATTGTTATCCACCGCATTGCTGTCACAATGCTCGTGTCTTACGGTATTTCTATCGCAGTGATCAATTCTGTGGTTAACGCACTGTGCGACCCTTTACGCAAGCACTTGACAAGGTTTATGGATCCGTTTATGATTGTTGCGTTACGAGGACTCATTCAAGCGCCGATTTTTGTACTGTGGGCCATTGTAGACTCAGGAGGCCATCCACCACCGTTAAATCATCTTTTTTGGACGTCTGTGTGTATTAGCGGCTGCATCAACATTATTACGAGTTATCTGTACAATCGAGCAATTCAGATCTCGACGTTATCTGCTACAATTCCATTTCTTTCATTTACACCAGCATTTCTGGTAATTGTTGCTTTCCTTGTACTTGGTGAAGTCCCGACAGCTTTGGGTGTGCTAGGTATCTCTATTGCAGTCATGGGTGGCTTTTGGCTGCAGGGTGCCAAAGATGCTCAGGCAAGTAAGGAGATGCTCATAGACTCATCAGCTGCCAGCAAAGGACCAGTTTACATGATCCTTGTGGCTTTCTTATGGAGTATTTCAAGCGCATTTGATAAAATTGGAGTACAAAACTCGACCCCGTTGGTATATGGTGCTACGATTCAGGTCATTGTGGCTGGTGGTAGTTACGTACTTCAAAAAATGCGCATTGGAGGTGGGGAAGTTGATCTTATAATCGGACAAGAGACAAAAACTCCATGGAAATATATCATTCTTGCTGGTCTTACCAGTGTCGTATCATATTATATTAACCTCGTAGCCATGCAGCATCTCGAGGTTTCGTACGTGATTGCGATGAAGCGATCAGGATGCATATGGAGCGTTTTAATGGGGCGCTTTCTGTTTCGAGAACGGAATCTGCGCAAGAAGATTCCCAGCATTTTGCTGATGGTCCTTGGTGTTACGTGTATTGTCATGGGTAAAAAGTAAAGCATTTTTGTGATTGAGAGTAGAAAACCTATTCAGTCCTACATATCTATTGACCCGGCATTGAGTCACATCCTCGTCATGTCTGCAAACTTCAATGTTACTGTAACAACGCATCTTGCGACCAAGTTTTACCAACGGGTGTGTCTAGCCATTCATTTGACTGTGCGATGTCGTCATGAATCGCTTTGACTAGCGACTCCAGCGACGGGAAGTCCATCTCTGGACGAAGATAACCACTGATGACAAGTTTAAGCTGCGCACCGTAAAAATCCTCGTCGAATTTGTGCAACAGATGCGGCTCCACTGTCTTCTCCTGCACACAAGTGACAAGCAATTCAATAGAGTAGCAGAAGTTAGCAGTCAATATTTTTCATCTTACGTTTCTCAACCTCTGTTCAAGCTCGTACCTTATCCTTGAAATAAGGATTCCAGCCAATACTCACGACGGCCTTGAACGGGCCCTTGCCGTCCACTGTGGCCCATCCGCAGTAAATACCAGTGGGCAACTGATCGAGTTGATCGCCTAGATCTTTGCGTGAGAGATTCGCTGTGGGACAACCAAGTTGCTTTCCTCCACGACCGAGACCCTCAACCACTGTCGCCTGTAGCCGTAATACCGTCTTTAATTCTTCAATCATTGGGAGTTAAAATGTCGGAAATTGGACACTGAAAAAAAGAGGAGATATATTAAGCAGCTGTTATTTCTCAACTTTCCGCGTAAATAGGTCAACAGGTATTCATTAATTAAGTACTAATTGTTCTCAGCGTCTGAGCCATTTGTTATGAGTCAGTAATCGCTTAAGGAATAAGAATAGCAGTGTAAAATAACTGGTCGATGCACATGAAATAGCCCTGCCACTTTGCGACAATGCTTGACATGTGAACAGCACCAATACTCCTATCTCATTGACCGATAGACGTTCACAAAAAACAAAAGTTTTATATTATATCTTGTGAAAGAAAAAATAAGATTCTTATAAATCCGATTTCAATGAAAAGAAGCAAAGTATGTTACAGAGGCATAATAACTCATTTTGGATACGGTCAGTTAACACAGTAAACAAGCATATTTAAAAAGACTATGTAACTGGGACTGATTTGTGCTGTGATACATAAAGTTTACAAATAAATTCAAAGAAAGTCGCCAGTTGACGCTACAGAGCAAATGCTATTCGCGTCTGTATCAGAGTGCATATTTTGCTCTCACTTTTAAGAGCTGACACCACTGAAATGCACAAAAGGTTAAAGAATGAGAACAAAATAATCTACTTTCTAGTCTATTATAAGCTTTTTGGACTCATGTGAGCCTTCGAGAAGCCCAGACAAATATTTGTAAATATTTGATGTTCTGGTTATATTTAGTGGCAACATTAGATAAAAACATACGACAAGGTTCAAGGAATTTATGAGAGAAATTTAATTAATTCAATCAGATATATAAGTAAAATGACACCCTTTCATGAGAACGTATGCGCTCCTTTGTTGATTGGCTTGTGTCACTCGTCGTCGGACCAATGTCTCTCCTGGCCATTTATTGCGTAAGCCAAGGTTTTCCTTCAATTATACCGTGTCCCATGCAACTTCTTTGCTTTCTGCTCGGATTCATATTCACTAGTACATTCTGTTGCTGCAGTCTTGCTACTGCTGAGCACGCAGCCATGATCAAGAACACAAATTCAAGCTACAACCACGTACGAATTAGTGCTGAAAATCGTAATCTCAAGGGTATAGAGAAAGATACACCAGACGAAGAAAGATCGTTTCCTGGTTCTAACCAGATGCGGCGCTATTTTGACGCAGTAGCCCAAAATAAAGACGTACAGCACGTTTTAAACACAATCAAACGAGCTTTTAAAAAAGACACAAGACATGCGTCAGTGTCAATGTTGATCGGACTCGCAAAAATGCTCACGTTTGTAGGTATCATCGCTGGAACAACTGGGTACTTTGTTTATCGAGTCAGTAATAGTTAACGTATCCAAATAATTCTGTTACTGCAAAATACAAATGATGTAGTCAAATACAAAATGCAAGATGTTTGCCAAATAATTTCTTCACGTCGTGAGCACTTTCAATCCTTTTCTGTCTTAAATTTCGCCTTTACTTCCCACGATCATCAGTTACAGCAACACCAACGCTACTAGCTGATTCATCTGCTAATTTCTCATTGTCTTCCACATTATTTTTCAGAATGTTTGAGCCAGGGCCACTGCATTCATTCTCAGCTCTCTCCTCTTCATCATCACTCCAGGCATCAGCAACAATTGCAGCACGACGAGGTTCAATACGCTCCCAGCCACGGTTGACAGAAACAGGAGGCCTTACTGGCAATGAAGCAGACTGCGCCGTAGTCGCACTGGAATTCAATGGGAGAAATTTTAGACGACTAGATGCTTGGGCTGCACGGGCCTGCTTTGTAAGTTTGCTAAGATGCGTTGATAGGGTCACAGTGGGCACATGTGCGTCCGCACATTTATAAAATGAAATTCGACGGTGTGGATCCTCACCAAACGATTCCGAGACAACACCGTAAATTGAGGCCAATTGATGCATCAAAGCTCGCTGAATTCAAATATTCACAGAGTACTATTAGCACGTCAGCTGAGTATATGCAAAATGGCTAAGAGTACCTCTTCTCCCGACATCACGCGCAGGCTGACACTGTGGCATGAGAGCTCTTGAACAATCCGTTCCAAACGACGCTCAACCACCGTAAGGTAGCTAGCATTCGCCTTACCCCATGCAATAAGTTCTTCAGAATAACTGGGAGTCTTTAATTCATCTTCAAATGCGGCGGCATCGCCACTTGCAAATCCTGGTCGATTGACCCCAAGCGCTTGAGCTAATTTCTGGTTGCGTAAAATCTGGGCCCTAGGAGGAGTCGATAGATGTCTAGTTGGAGGTGGGACATACTGAGCACTTAGTGGTCGGGCAATAGCTGGTCGAAGCACCGATACCGGAGACGGCCCTGCAGGGATCGGAAGTGCAGGAAAGGCTTCGTCAAGTTGCACTGAAGGTGGCGGTAAAATACCACTTCCTCCATAATTCCAGTGATCGGGCACTCCTTCAACATGACCTAAACTCGCTGGCCCACTAACAATGTTGTTGCCACCTCGAGAGACTTGAAAGTTTAATTGTAAGCGATTGTGAACGCCATGGACGGAGCTCATATGCGCATGGTACTCTATATCGTTCGAAAAAACAACAAAACGCATCTCGAGACTATGAAAAGTGCATCGGCAATATCGAGTAAGTAGACAAAACCAAATCAACTGTATTGTGTACTTACCAGGCTCGATCCTCACACAAATGATGGGTTCGACGAAAATGCGTTTCTAAGCTTGCACTATGAACAAACCAATATTCGTTAGACAGCCCAAACAAACAGAAGCGTAAGCAAATACGCACTAGTTACGAAAGTACTCGTTCTCCACCTTGCAAATGTGGCACTTGAAGTGATCGCGTTCTAAATGTTCATACAATTCTTTGTCTCCATAATACCGCTTGCGACAAAATTGACACATTGGATGAAAATCTTTGCCTGTGTTTGCGTGCTTTTGACCCGCATGTCCACCTCTACTCCGTCCAATACTGTGTCCCTTTAGTGCTCCTTTAGTAAACACCTCCTGCTCTTGAATAAAAAATGACTGGTGGTTTAAGCAAAGCTCACAAAACTCGACTCCATGATCATGCTGCAAGTGTTCCTTCAACTGGTCTAATGAGTGCTTTACTTCTCTACAGCGCTTCATCCGGCACTTGTACTCACGAAGACTACGCAATTCAAAGTAGTGCGCTTTACAATCAACAAAAATCATCTCGGATGGCTCATCCAAAACTGATTCGGGACCTGCAGCATCTCCCCAAAGCTCAAAACTCTCATATGGCCGTGAGATTCTACTGACTACCACACGTTCCAATGGCTGCTTGCACATGGGGCAGTTACGATCATCCATAATTATCCGCATACGCATAGAGCATTTGCTGCAAATACCGTGGTGATTGCATTCACCCACTGCATAGTATATAATGGGATCGGCACACAATATACAGATATCAAATGTATCGTCTTCACGAGTCGAGGCGGTGTCTTGAACAGATGAAACGTTTTTTTCACCATGTCGTCTTCTCCTGCTCTCGTCAACTTTCGTTGCTGAAGTGTCCAATTTATTTGCTTCTGATACAATATCAGGCTCTTTTTTTCTGCGATAGCGAGAACGCTGTCGACGCTTGCAATGGCCTGATACGTTTCGCTCGGTGGTTAAGTGTGTTGAGCCATGGGCAACGCGTCGTTGGACAGAGGACGGGACCATTGTAAAGGAGGGTGCGAGAGCCGATAACGATGAGGTTCCTGCCATGCTGCTTGATGTGGAGCTACTCGCAACGCTCGTCATAGCCAAAGGTGGGATGGACAGAGAGAAATGAAGTGGATGCCAAGTCAATCGGAATCAGAAAATAGAATCAGAGGACAACTGTGGCAAATCTACATAATAATACAAAGAAAAAAAAATTGGCTTGAATTCAAGGTTTTCTGTTCTACCAAATTTAATTTTTGATTAACTAACATCGCAATATTATCATTTGATGAACTGTTACAAGGATGGTAAATATTGAAAGCAAAGTAAGTTGCTATGACAGCGGGGCTGTCGTAGCTCTTTGCTTAGAGGAAGCTCACTAAGGTCACCGACCTTACGTCCTATACTAGAACCAGTGCGGGTGTAGCGGATAACAATCCGCTACCACCAAGAGTACCCAAAACCTTAACACAAGGCAAATGTTCTTTTCCATTCAAAATTGAAAATGTGTTCATCTGTTTTATTTGCGGCAAAGCCGCCTATATCTAGAACCTTAGGATCCTTTATAATTAAATACAAAAACCTAATTGATATGCATTATCACTGGCAGTCCCGCCACGTAGTGGCTTCTTGTTACGGAGTAGCTACACCATTGTGTGATTACACCATCTTGTATGACCCACCCCTTCATACCAGGGTACGTGTAACCCCGTTACACTCTCCCCCATCAAATGTGTGAATACCCACAATTCACATATAAGTGTCGCCTCGTACGAGGCTCGCATGTCTAAGACACCTTTACGTCTCTAGGACCGTCTTCACTTCTCAATACGCCCTGTGTCTATGACACGAAAGGCTCCCAGCCTAGCTAGTTCCGAGTGCGCCCGCAAGCAGAGCCTTTCTTCGTCTCCTGCACGCTGACAATACATCCGCAACTTCACGGAAAACACATTCCAAGACCACGGCAACCGGGCGGCACACACCGCGCCCACCACAAGCGACGGATTTTCTCGTCAAGGATTCGGATGAAGACGTTTACGAGTCGGACACTTTTTTCCCAGGATAGGAAGAAGAGGTGGGTAATGTGGGCCAACGGCGAGTCGTGAGCCCTGCTCAAATATTGCAGAAACCGTGTCCGTGTCCCGACCATTCGACTTCCAGGAGAAGTGGGATTAATATAAACCGCCCCGACTAGGCACTAGAGCAGCGGCTGAAGCCTTCCCTCAGAGCGGGCTTCGTGTGCTTGTATCCACGTTCGGTCCTTGACCCTGATTTGATTTTGCCAAATTCAAAGTGCAACGCCGACTTCCTGCGTATTGTCGCCCTGCAGCATATGGAACAATCTATAGCGCCCCCCGAGCTCTGTGGTTTCTCACAAGGGTGAGTCTACGACCACAGCCGCTCAGGGCCATAGCTTGAGCTCAGCTCATGGCCCTTCGGCTTCCCGGGCTACTACCGCGAAGCACATGGCGTACGACGAAGAAGAGCGTCGTGTCCCTTCTGATCATAAGCGTCCACGACGTTTGGGCAGTCTTGCTGAAGTGGCACTTCGAACTCCCACAAGTTCTCGGAGCTCGGGTATCCCCCGCCACTTCACAAGATATTGGGTTTGACCATGGTGACGACGTCGGTCTTCGAGGCGTTCCACATGATAGACGACGCCAACGTTCTTATCGAGAAGAGTCGGCGGCGGACAGTGACGACTTAGTCGATCGCCAACGGTGACTCGCGATACTTTTCGAGCCTTAGAGGACAACGTCCGTCGTCATCGGCACTCTGCCGAGAATCAGTCCGAGGTCGCCTACCGCTGTGAGGAAGGCCTCGAGAGTTTGGAGCACTTTCTGCACCGGATGCATCGCGTTGAGGATTGTCGTGCTCTGTTGGAGCCGTTGAGCAGACAAATACGTCACTTCGTGTGACGGTGGAGCGTCTTGCGCCAATGGAACCGGGAGTTGTTTCACTCCGTGCTCAAGACCAGTAGCTGCTTCAGCTTCTGGGCGGCCGAGCGCCTTTGAGCGACGTCCCGGCGCCAACACTTCCGCGTTTACTTGCGCCGGATCCCGGTACGGCTAAAGTAAGCCCACACAAAACACCGGGTAGGTGCGCATCCTTCTCGAAAGTTTCAGCGTATTCGCTAGGCATTGCTTGATCACGACCGTGGACGAAGCTTTGTTTTAAAGTAAAAAAAGACTGCATGTGTAGGAAGGCTTTAAACACTTAATGAAACCAGGTCTCCGACCTCAATGTTTTCAACATTCCCTCTTCCTTCTACATGTCTTGGCTTTTAGCCAACGCATCGCGAACGTGTCATAAGACACTCAGTCTAGTAGACAGGGAGTTTATGACTTTTTACGCACGATGAGGGAGCTGACATCAGCCAGCCGTTCGGCTATTTTTATCTCACCAAGCCCTGGGCCATGGGATGGCGGCGTCAGCAGGACGCAAGGATTGATAAGTCCGCTCACGTAATACTGCGAGTAAACGGTAGACTGCACTGCATTGTTCAGAGCAAACTCTACGAGTAAAAACATGCGTTTCAGCTCTTCGGAGTCTCAGCGCAGACAATACGAAAAATTTCTTCAGCGACGCGATTCACGCGCTTGGTCTGACCATCGGTCTACGGATGGTCGGCTGTCGACATAATCAACTTGGTGCCCAGCACCCTGAAGAGTGTAGACTAAAACTTCCCAGTGAAGGGCGAGTCTCTATCAGAGGCAATTAATATCGGGCGTTCATGCTGTCGAAAATACGACCGATAAATAGCGTCGCTGTACCCACACCGTCGATGGCGTCCGGCACTGCCACAAGATGAACCGTCTTGTCCAAACGGTCCACCAAGGCCACCACGCACGTGATGCCTGCTGAATCCTTCGGCAGGCCGAACACAAAATCCATACTCATGGACCGCAAACACGCGGAGGGTACAGGTAAACTGGCCAGCGGTGGCGCCGCATTCAGGAAGGATTTCACCCTCTGACATGTCCTACACGTGCGCACATATGTGCACATCGATTTGTACAACTTGAACCACCGATAGTGGCAACTCACAAAGCTGTACATCATCTCATGATCGAACGACCACTGAATGGGGTGACGTGGGCCTCATAAAGGATACGGTATTTCAAATCCTCATTGTGGGGAGCGACGATTTGTGGCGTATTTGGCGAATCGGTGCTATAATACAGCAACCCGTTATTCCGCGCGGTTCGGTGTAACCCTGCGCGCAAAACCGCCGTTTACCAAATTTCCGAACTCTTGCTCCCGACACACTACCATCACCCGCGCATGCGGAGCGGATCAAATCCATTACTGATGAAGTCACCGCCGTGAAATGAGCAAGCTCATAATCCGGTCTGCGTGACGACGCATCAGCCAAAGCATTCTGCTATCCTGACTTATACTTCACCCTGAAGTTAAATTCTGCGAAGAAGGAGAGCCACCTGGTCATCCTCTGCGAAATGTGAGACGACTGAGCCGAAATGCTTAATGATGCATGATCTGTGTAGATCACAAACGGCTTTGAGCCAAACAGGTTTACCCTAAATTCGACAAGTGAATACCTCATCGCAAGCGATTTCTTTTCGTGGACTGGTTAGTTCTTTTTCGCAGCCTTGACCTGGCGAGATTTATACGCGATCACCCGATCTCGCCCCTCGGTGTCCGCTTGCAGCAGTGCACAGCCGATAGCAAAGTTTGAAGTGACACAGACGACCCTAAAAGAACGATTGGGATATGGCAAGCCAGTATTGGTGCATGAAGGAGGCTGTCTTTGACCCTGTCAAAAGCCTGTCGATGCTCGGGGTCTCAATACCATTCCGCACCCTTTTTAAGGAGATTGGATAATGGCCGGGTCATTTCTGCATAATTTAAGCTATACTTGTGCAAGTAGTTGGTGAGACCAAGCCATTTACGCAAGTCCTTCCGGTTCATTGGGACTAGCCAGTCCACCATGGCCTTGTCCTTAGCGGGATGCAATCAAAGGCCACGCTTCCAATGAAGCACCCTAAAATTGGATTTTTCCGAGTCGAAGATGCGCTTATCAGCATTAGCATACAGCTAATGCATGCACATGCACTTGAGCACCGCTCTTAAATGGTGGTTTTCCACATCTGTCCTCCCGTGCTCCGCACGACAGTGAACGAAGATGTCGTCGATGTATGTCTGCGCATACGCCCTATGGGGCCTATACAACTGAGCCAAAAAGCGATTGAATGTTACTGGTGTATATGACAGCCCTTGGAACATCACCAGCCACTCCCAGAGCATGTCGCTCAGAGTACTCATCTCTGTCAGCGGAATATCACTCGCTTTGATGAGAAATTGGTAATAACCATCGACCAGGTCCAGTGAGCTGTACATTGTACAGCCAACCATATTGTTTTATGGAGAACATCCAATTAAGGAATCGGCGTTTGTGCCAGAATGGTGGCAGCGTTTAGCTTACTAAAAGTGTGAGCGATACGCCACTTGCCGTTCGGCTTCCGGACACAGAACGTGGGTGTCGAGTGGGGAAACTCACTCTCATGCACCATTCCTGCGTCGTGCTTCGCACGAAAAAAGGCGTCAATGGCGCCACACTGCTCTTTAGGCAGGGGTTATTGCAGTATTTGGTTCCCGGAACCAGGTCAGTCTCATAAAGCACACCTCGGTCCGGAGTATGGACCGACGGTGGATCTTTGGACACGACGAATTGAGAATTTATTATCAAAGGATAATACAAATTCGAGGGATAGTTCAGAATCGACGATCCACTTCTTGCGTTCAGCACCCTCTTTGTATCTTCCAGGACAGCTTCATCCAAAAGCGACGATGGGACCTCGATTGGTGTTATAATGAATATTTCGGCTAAATTACCTGCCTTCAAGGCACCGCCAAACTCTTCGAAGGACATCTCGTCCAGCTCAAGAACAGTATCCTCCGCAGGAATAGCCTCGAGAGTGACGTCGCCGTCTTCCTCTCCGTTATACCTTTGCCAAGGGCAGTGCTCAGTGAGTTACGTGCCACCCCTGTGCGTCACAAGGGTCACGCCCTTGATGACTCGGCTCTTGGCCGACCATGCTACTCTTGGTATGCAGCAACTGCTTCGTAACGTGGGCGGTGCTCGGTGGGTTACGTGCCACTCCACGTGCATCACAAGAGCCTCGCCCTTAATGCCTCGGCTCTTGGCCGATCATGCCACTCTTGATATTCAGCGACAGCTTTAATACTATAGCAGCGCTCTGTGGATTACGTGACATTTCACGTACAACCGGCGAGCCACGCTCGGAACTCTTGTACAATACACATTTGAGTTTGACAAATCGGATACTCCGACAACTGTACATTAAACGTCCCGGTCCAGTGTCCGCGCCAATATCGCTTCTGCTCCTAGCAAAGGTGGGTTCAAGACTCACCAAAGCTCCACCAGGAGACGTGCGCGTAGCGCCCAAAGTCTACGACCTCCAAAAATCCATGGTTCATGGTATTCTAACCATGCCATACCAAGGATAAAGTCATACCTTGCTCCCAAGTCTAAAACTAGATAGCTTTTCACGCTATCAAAGTTAAGGAACTTGACATCGAGGTCCAAACGGACACCCAGCACAGTAACACAAAAGTCCCCGTCGCTAAGCAAACAGTGACGGTGTCACTCAACCGCGATATCAGCGGCTCAGCATAAAGCTGACGTCTTCGATCGTGGAGCGTCGAGCGTAATTGCCCGACGCTCCAGAATCGAGCAGAAATTTCCATGGATTCTTAAAGCCCTTCATGATCGCTTTTACGACCAGCAAGCCTGGCTGGCACACACGTTCCGTGTTCAAAAGCACGGAGCACTTCGAGACTAGGCCCTGCTGCCCTTTACCTCTTTGTGGCTCAACAGCACTCATTTCTTCCTGAGTAGGGCGTCCCGCGCCTACTGGATGGTCTCGTTTCTCTGCGTCAACCAGACTGATTAGATGCGGGACGTCGGTTCGACGAACCATTACGCGCCTTGCGCAAGGGACAACCAGTCTGAAGGTGACGGGCGTCTCCACAGACAAAACACTGTCGGATTTTTACACGCTTCTCGTGTCTTGAAAATCTCGCTCCTCCTTCTTAGCAAAGCTGAGATACATTGGCTCAGGTCGGGTCGACAAGATTTGAGGGTGTGCATTTTAACCAAGTCGTGCCGACTTGAAGTTAAATTCGGCACATTCACCGCTTTTCAGAATAAATCGGATGCACACGGAAGACTTCCTTTCTGGCCACGCCAGTGTGGAGGCCTATCATAAAGACGGTCACTGCAACTGCCTCGGGGAGAGGATTGGCTGCCATCCCGGCAATGAAAGCTCTCAACTCTTGGACTAAGCTGCCTCTATCTTCTTCCTTCTATCCAACTGTGTGTTCACCAGCTCCTTCTTGCCGTTTCGGGCAGCAAGGAAATGCGATCTCACGCGATATGCCTGATAAGACGGCGAGAACACTTGCACATGCCGACGCATCATCTCCTTCCAGGAGGAAAACGCAGCTTTAACTGAAGCACCGCACGTTAGTGCCCATTTTTGTGCTCGGCCCCCAAACTTGGGAACAGCTAGCACCACGCGCTGTTGCTCGTTTTGGGGCATGGCGGATACCATAGCCATCTCGGCCTCTCTCACCCAGAGAAGATAATTCTCTCCATCCTTATACTCGAAGGTCTTAACGCTATCTATGAGCGGCCTGGGTCGGAGGAATCATCCGTCCTCGACGATGGCGTCATAGACGCAGTTGACGCTGACAGCTTTTGCTGTTAGCGCTCTAACAGAGCATTTCCATAACTAAAAAACGCCTCTAGGCGCGCGCTTAGGCCTTGGACCCTTGCGCAACGAGGTGTTCCACGCCCTCAGGGCCCGACAGGGACATCAGCTTATGAAGCCCGTCCTGTATGTCCTGGGGTAAATTGGAAAATTGCTCCAACCTCACAGAGGATCATTCATAACGATTCAGGCGTAGATTGACAACGAGTGCTACCAAGTCAAGACGGCTGCCATAGCCCATTGCTTAGAGGAAGCTAAGCTAAGGTCGCCGACCTTACGTTCTTTCAAAGAACCAGTACAAGGGTAGCGGATCGCAATCCGCTACTGCATAGTACGGAAGCCTTACAAAGGCAAACGAGCACTTCAGTTCAAATACAAAACTGTATTTGAATTTGATTGTTTTATTTGCCGCAGAGCTGCCAATATCTAAGCCCTAAGGTTTTCCTAATTAATAGTGACATCTAATTAATATAGTAATATGCATTACAACTGGCAATCCTGCCACGTGGTGGCTTCTTGTTACGGTGTGGCCACACCTGTAGCGGGATTACACGTACCCTGATAACAGGGGTGTGTGTCACACGAGATGGGCATGGTGTGACTGCACCCAAACAATAATGCGGTATTTGGCTAGGTAGTCAGTAGTCATGCATGTATTTAGATTTTACTATTTATATTTAGGAAGCTCTATACTTTTAAAACTAGGCGGTCTAGCCGCAAATAAAAATAAATGAAAATTGATTTTAAATCTAGGTAGAAACTACTCTTGGAGTTAGCGGATTGCGGTCAGCTACACTCGTATTGGTTCTTGTAAAGAACGAAAGATCGGTGATCTCCTAAATTACGCTTCCTCAAGCGCAAAGCTACAGCAGTCCCGCTGCACTTGGTAGCACTTGTAGTCAATCTACACCTGAGTCGTTAAGACTGATACTTTGTGGGGTTTGAACAATTTTCCTTCTGCCCCAGAGCATGTAGGACGGGCTTAACAAGCTGATGTCCTTGCTTAGCCCTGAGGGCGTGCAACACCTTGTAGCGCAAGGTCCCGAGGCAATCGGTGCACGTCTATGACGTCACCGTCGGTGACGGATGATTTCCCCCGATCTAAGCCGCTCATGGTGAGCGTTAAGGCCTTTGAAGGGAAACAATTGAGAGAATCTCCTGCTCTGGGTGAGAGAGGTCGAGATGGCCATCGCATCCGCTATGCTCCAGACCGAGCAATAGCGCGTAGCGATAGCCATCTCAAAGCTCGGTGGTCGAGCGCGAGAATGGGCACTGACGTGCAACACTTCGGTCGAAGTTGCGTTTTCCTCCTGGACGGAGCTGAAATTGCAGCTCTCACGAGTGGTCTTGCCGCCTAATCAGGTGTATTGCGTGCGATCGCGTTTCCTTGCCGCCCGACAGGGCAACAAGGAATTGGTGGACTTTGTTCAAGAGATGCAG